TGGGGCTGCTAGCAACTCTGGTAAAATGCTCCAAACTTTGGCATGAAATCTCCTGCTGACTTTCCCCATCCTTGCTATTTCCAGCCCAGGCTGACAGTTTTGGCTGGCTGCCTTCCACACTCCGGCAAACCTGGGGAAGCAAAGCTGAGTAGAAGCAGGAAGAGAGAGGCAGAGCCTTCCCTCTCCCACACTTTCCCCATGGGCCTCCAGTGAGGCATGGGGCAGGTGATGGAAAAACAAGCCCTCCTGGCCATTTTCACTCAGAAAGGGTCAGATCAGGAAAAGCCCAAGAGGATTCTGCTGCACCCTGTGATGACAAGTGAAAACTGCTTTCCTTTTCTTTCTGTCCCATCAAGTGGAAGGAGAGGAACCTCCCAGAAAGAACAAATCAAAAAATCCAAGATAGGGTCTACGGTGAAGAAGTACCACAGCTGCAGGAGGGGCTGGGACATCGTGCAGGTCATGCTGCAGAAAAAAAGGGAGGGATGAAAAACACGCAGTAGAAAAGACTTGTAACTGATAGGGAACTTCTGGGTTTGGTTTTTTAAGATCTATTTGTTGGCATTCCTGAGAAAGAGAAGCGGGGAAAGACTGCAACACGTGTTCACATAAGGGACTCCTATGTTACAAGCTACAAGGAACTTTGGAGGTGATCAGCTCCAAGCCTTCAGGCATACAGCTACTTTGTTCATGTCGGAAAAGACTCATCCCCAGGTCCACACAAACATTTCATTTTTTAAATGTGGCAAAATGCACTGAGTTGCAGGAATTTATATATATATGTATATATTTAAGCATGACGTTCTATCTCTCTTCCTACCACAAAACCCTGTGCCACATTAATCTGCTCTCAAATAATAAGTGGAAGTACAGAGATTTCCAGAAAGAGCATTTAACATGCATTCGTTGGCCAAGCAGAATTGCCTACTTCTCTGCTTGTTTCTACAAATACATGGCCCTCTACTGCAGAGGGCTTGTGGCAGCCCAAGGGCGAAATTTAAGAGGCCATTTGTTAAACGCTGGCAACGAGCACTGGCACTGCACATGTCGAGCTTTCACTTTACTGCGGTGGGGGAGCCAGAGCCTAGGTCTGTTGTGATGTCTCAAGAGATGAGATGGAGCTGTTTCTGCCCATTTCTCTGGAATCCCTACCAAGAATTCCTGGGGAGTGTGAAGCAGTCCTTTAAAAACGCTTCCACTGTTACTCCAGTCAGCACTGACCCTTAGCAGTCCTTCAGTTGAAGTTACTGGCTACATTCGCTATTAACTGAGGCAACGTGCAAGCTACAGCCACACTCAGGCAGAGCTTCGGTGTGCTTCCTGCTGCACCACGGGCTGGTCCTGGTGCTAGGAGCAGGGAGAGAGAAGGCAGCTGAGACAACAGATAGGAGAAGCCTAAAAGAGATGAGGACATAGATGGTAAGGAATGATGGAGATGGATTTGGGTTTTTTCAAGCTTGCCCCACTGTCAAGTTTTCCAAAGCATGGTCATTAGACCCTTCCAGTACCACTTACTGGGGAAAATCACACAGGGGAAATGACTCACCTTTGAGAGCCAGGCTGTCCACACTAGGCATTTGATGTTTTTTTATAAAAACGCAATCTTGAGTGAAAGTATTTGCAACATTTTCTGTTTGCAAAGTTAATCTATCATTCCTACCACCTGACAGTTTTTGCCCTACTACAGTTGATCCGAAAAGTCTTCTTTGGTTTACAGAAGTAGTTCTTGATGGATTTAAATTTCTGATATCTTGTTCTGCAGAAGCCAGAGTACTGGGAAAGTTATGCTGTTGGGGAAGAGCAGAGCTGTTTTCTCTGTGTGCCAGAAACTCCTGGTGATTACAAGCACTGCAGATGCACAGCTCCCTCAGACAAACTTGTTTTAATTCAGGCCTACAAACATGAAATTTCATGATTTGCAAGTTGTTCACAACCACAGGGTTTCAGTGTCATAGCTGGGGTTGGGACCTCCATCAGGTCATACACAGAACTGTCTTCCATGTGAAGATGTAGCACACCGGCCGTGAGCCCAAGAGCTGTTCAGGGCAGCAAGCAGCTCAAGGGCTGGCAGCTTGCAACAGCAACTGTGCCATCTGCAGTAGCTGTCATGGAGCTGCCCTGCACACAAAACCAAAATTTGGTACAATGGAGGTTTGCTTCTCCCGCCTCCGCTCCTCCCAACACCAGTGGCCATTTAGCAGCAGGGACAGTATAAAAACTGAGGGCACTAGGAAATAATTATTTATGCATTTTCAACACTGTAGTGTGGTTGACTTAAGCTTCCTTTTCAATCTGTCTTGTGAAGAAAAGTTTATTTCAGAGACATATTGATATATATCTGGTATCTTCAGGTCTTTTAAAGTAGGTCAGTTTACAAAGAACAGCTTGGCTGTTTAGCAGTTTTTATATGACAATCTCAAAGCAATTGCTCTTCAATTTATTCACAACCTTGTCCTGATTTCAGATTTATTATTCCCATTGTCACTGTAGACACAGAGGCAGAGAAAAGTTCCATCATTTGTCAAATACTCCAAAATACAGCAGTAGCAGAACTGAGAACAAGGGCTCGGCCTGCTGGCTATATCCCTGGCAGCTTCCTCAAGCCAAACAAGAACAGCCTGAGTTGAGGCCATACATGCACTCTCAGGAGAATTTCAGCTGATGTCCAAGGCCACCTGAGTGTATACAGGGAGGACATTTGCCCACTTTCACATAGGGTTTTGCAAAGTTACTCACAGCTTATTTTTGCTACCCTTCTGTGTGGCAACCTGTAACAGGACTAAAAGGGGACAGATAACAAAAGCTAAAGCTGGAAAAGGAACAAATTCAATTAATACCTTCTTTCACACCCTAGTTGTTTCTAGTTCTTCAAGAGATGTGTTAAGCACCTCATAGCATCTATAAGAATGACTCTATGATCTCCAGCCCTATGAAGCTAAGTTAGGAAGAGATGAGTATCTTGTGAGCATCACTTTAACAAAACCAAACTGAATTACCATCACCTCCTCTCTGTGAACATGTTGCAGTGTGGGTTTAAATCAAGGACCTGTTAAGGGCAGGAGAGGAAGACAAGTTTCAGCAGCTTGAATGCACCTCTTTAGTTTCTCCTAATGTCTAAAAAAGAGAGGGGGGAGCTTCTCTGTTGCACCCTCTGTTGCATATGAGCTCCAGATGCGTGCATGCTATTTCCAGAGTCAGAGGATACAGATGTCACTAATACTGCTGGTGATCTGCTCCAGTCTATTGAAATTTTTTTAATCTGAGATCAACACCCAAAAAAAGTATTTGAAGACTCAGCATGAAGAGGGGAAACAACTGCAATGAAAGCTATAGTTCCTGTATTACCAAAGCAAGGTGCAGGGCACAGATTACACCCAGCATCGTGAGCCAAAAGTCCTGACAATTGATTTGAAAGATCTTGCAGGACCTCTGGAAGTAGTAAGCAACATTCTGACAGTGTGTTTTCTTCTCACATGATAGTAGGGTTATGAAGTAGCTTTTTAAGACCCAGCCAGTTTTCCTTTTATAGCAGCCTATTTATATACTCCAAATTCAGTCACAGCTTCCAGTGTACTGTACTGATTATGATAGTGCTCATTTCCTCATTCTGAATTGCACATGCATTTCTTTTCTCATTTTCTATTCTCTCCTTGTTAGATGTATTAGCCTTACATTACCTTCACTCCGTTGCTTAGCCTCTTCCTCGGTTCCCTTTCTAGGGGCATTTATCTCATTAGAGTAATCAAAAGTCAAGTTAGTCTACTTTAATAAAATAAACATTTTAAGAAAAGCTTTCCATCTTTGTTCATTTTTAAATACATAAAGAATAGATTCAACACAGTATTTGGGCAGTGGTTCAGTATCACTCAAGTTAAAACATCCTCCTCCACTTCAGGCCATGAAAAACACCACTTCTTAAAACTCACTATCCTTTCTACAGTACCATTTACTTACAGTGCTACTGAGTACCTAATGGCCACTGCTCCTTTTTTGCTTAGAGCATATATTACCAAGTTCACTGAACTGTAAATCATTTGAAGACTGAAATCCAATTTATACAGTCTTCCCATTTTCACTAGATGTGTTGTGTAGCAAACTTTTAGATACTAACAGTGCTTCTAAATTCACAACGCGCTTAGTCCAAAACTCCTGAAGTTAATATTTTTCCACTTGGATTGTTAATGTTTGCTAAAACCCGAAACATTCTTCAGCTGACTGACTAAAAGCTTCACATCCTTAGAACGTAAAATCTAAATATAAATGTGGTGGGCGTATGTGGATCTTTTCTCTCTGAGGAGGCTCTGTTACGAATTTCCAATGTTTTACGCCACCACCAAGCCTCCGCTAAGCCGTGACACCTGTTCAGAATTTTCAGCTTCTTAACCCCTTATTACACTTCCGATCATCCCCAGCAGAAGTGCAGGAAGTGGAACAGAGTACTGTTGTCCCAGGTCTGCTGTATTAATTCTCAACAGCTCCTCTGTGTCTTTCAGTATTTCACATTAATAGCCACCTTAAGGACAACTAACTAAACAGAAGGACTTGCTTCTCATAACTGATGCCAGTAGATGCTCTGGTTATCAAGCAGGGCCTGGAAAGAAAATCTACAAACTCCATAGAAGGAACATTAAAGATAATACTCTTCATAGTAAATATTATTACTGATAATAATAAATGGTCTAATTCCAAAACAAAACAGCAAACTCTGATGTACTGCAGCCTTTCAGTAACTTTATGCTAAATGCATTCTTGTCATTCACATTAATAATGATCCCTGTTCTTCGTTTTGATGTATTTAGCAAACATTAAGCAGTGAACAATGCTAGCAAGCAAAAATTCTTTTAGCATCAGCATGTAGCCACGCTTTCTAAAATTTCTGCTACATCTCAACCATAAGGATATCTCTAGTTAAGTCAGTATACTGTTGAGACAGAATGCCTCCGTAAGAAAATGTGTTTCAAAAGACTCTTTTTCATTACAAACCACAGACATGACTCAGATTAATCACAATAAGAATTCTGACCTAATTTATTCACACAAATCAATCCAAATTCATTTTAGATCCAAAACACATATTACAAGGATACTAGTACATTTTTCCAGGTACTAAAGAATCTTGTATAAATGTATTTGTTCAAGTGCTTCTCTGTCAACATCCTTTTCCATATACACATCATAGTTTAGCTGCATCTCTTCGACCCATTGACTGAGCTGTATATCTGTCTGAAACAATGAAAACAGACCCTTAAATCAACACACTGTTGAGAAACGTAGCAGAATTTTCAAGGTCAGCACAACATTAAGAAGGCAAGATATAACAAGAAAGATTAGTCATTCTAAATTATGTGGCAATGATAAATTAACTTCTGGAAATGCCATTTAACTTAAATAGGAGAGAATAAAGATAACTTTTAAAAAGTATCTCAGTCAACAGTCTAGACATTTTGCTAGCATGTTACAGCTGCTTCTCTGTATGCATTTGCTAACTTTACCATGGAAGAATCACAGGTACTTTCTTGTTCTACACCCAGGGAGTATTGTATTAAGGCTACAAAGTGCTTCTCAGTTGCTGTGTAACTACTGCCTGCTCCAAGAAAAGGTCAAACGACACCATTGCTGTTCCTGCGGCTGAGGATCCATTTCACCCATCAGCATACAGGCAACCAGTGATTCAATTTCTCTAAAGCAGACTACTGTGGTGAGCAAGACACTTTATAAATAACCTTGTCATGTATGATCAGCATTTTGTTTCCTTGCTAAAGTCAGACCACATAATTTGTCAAGGCATCATACAGATAACAACTGTAATCTACCAACGACCTACGGCAGAATGGACGGAGAGCAGAGGTTGGTCCATCAGAAGTGGTTACTACTCAGGGAACAGCAGCAGCCATGCTGGGCATTCAACGTAAGTTGCACTGTTGTCGTGTTTGTTTCCAACTGCAATTTAAAGCTATGTCACTGATCCAAGACACCTGATGGTAATCACTTGGCTAGCTGGGAGACCATATCTCTTCCTAATCTGTGCTCCTAACAGCTCATACTGGCATATTTTAAGTCATTTTCTACACTGACAGCAAGTCAGAAGAACAGACTACCCTCAGGGATGGTCCTTCTTTAATATGTCACTTTCTCCCACTGGCTTAAAACAGTTTGTCATGTTTCAAGGCAATGTGCAAATGTAGAGCTAAACAGAGAAAATATTTAAAGGTTTTGCCTCTAGAAGTTTATAAATACATTTGTACTTCTGAGGTTCTACCCCTATATTTGGAAGAAGTTCAATGGAAGTGGGTATGATTATCACAAAACTTACATAATAATATGGCTTTGCTAACATTTTGTGGGTTTTTTAACCTCACAGCTAAGGTATTGTTAACAATACACACGACAATACAATGATTCATGCAACGTATTGATATAGGCAGGGATTTCCATTTTACTGGTGGAAATAAATAGAGAACAGGAAGACGTGTTGGTGGTCAACCCGGAAATCCAATCCTACATCTTTTAATCTGTGCAGAGAATTACACGCCTTTCCTCACAGCAATACTGGCAAGCAGCTAACCTCAACTACAGAACTGCCACTTTTGTAGAAAATGACAAAATGTGTTGGCTAAAACTGTCTGAGGGAACTTACCTGGAGCTTCGAAAGTGATTCTTTAAGGCTCGGAACCGTCACTAACAAAGACCCTCTTTTTCTTACATTACAAGCAATAAATTCCCAAGCTCTGAAACATATTGAAAAGTAGGTCACTGATTTTTAGGAAAAAAACCATATTTGATATAAAATAAATCTAACACTTTTACAGTTTAGTGGCCAGAGGTAGAATAAGCTTAAAGACTTGCTATATGTGCTTATCAGTCACTATTAATATCTAAGCAAGTATCTTTGTATTAACAAAGTCAAGCTTCGTATTAAAAACAGAGGGAATATATGGTCTTACAGTGTTACATTTTGTGACTTTTTAACTCTGATACATACATGCATGTCATTCTGTACTGTCAACACCTTCACTGTGGACTAGAATTAAACACTGACATTTGGTCCTTTTGAACTTTTGAAGAAAATCCAGTCTCTTCAGCGCACTGCTTTATTAAGCTTAACAACAAGCTGCTCTTTACATACATACTTTGCAGTCGTGACAAAATACTTCTCTTAAGACATAAGCAATTGAAGTATTTAAATATAGCCCTGAGCATTTCTTTTTTTCTGATTTTGCAAGTCAGATCATTTCTCACAGCACAGCAACTCGGACTAAAAAGAATTAATTTCCAGCATTCTTCAAACATCATTTGTCTTCATGGTACTAATGCACATCTATCCCTGAGTTCTTGAAGAATCAAATGAATTCTCGGTCATGTGCCTGGAAACAAATCTTCTGGCAATTTGAAACACCCACTACCCTTCACTCATCTACTCTGTGCCTCTCTGGTTAACATCACTGCTGGTATCAACGGCAACAGGACAAACCTTAGCTGAAACTGCTAGCAAATGTCAGACTGTTGGCTGGGATGGCAGAGACACAGGCACCCTTTCTTTTTGGCTGCCCATTCTAAAGGCACAGTATCTTTGGACAGTAAAGTTATTTACATTTTAAAATGATACTGTTAGATTAGCAAAAGCTGATCTTGTGAGTGTCTTGTACCTGAAAGAGAAGAACCTTAGCCACGCATTTGTTTGCTATCACATCCTTATGAAGATATATTAGAAATACCATTAATAACCATATTTTGCAGTGCATCTGTATTAAAGCTCTGACATCCATGAGTCAGTGATCTGTTCTCTTTCTGAAGATGAAGCTTTATACTGATAGAGTAATTTCAGATCCTTTAACAGCAAGATACTACTTTAACAGATCAGTGCAAGGTTTGGGTAAACAAGGCAGCAGTGTTTAGGGGGTTTAACAATAAACAACTGTCTTAACACCTTAGAAGGTAGGTATAACAATCAAGTATAGGCAGTTTAAAACAATTTCCTTATGTAATTTATGTATGTGACTTCAAAAAGCACAACCTTAAGGTTTACCATAACTCACAAGGTTATAAACACCTTGCCAAAGAAATAGGTAACTTGTTTGGACACATAGCTTACCTGGCCTGTTCCTGTCTGTCAAGAAAATATTCAAAGACATTATTCATTACAACAACATCAGCTTTCTGAAGAAGTGAAGCCTGAGTACAGATGTCTGCGTGAACCACCTGAAAGAGAAAAATTTCACGAGGCATAAATTAATTTAAGAGAGAAATACAGCCTTTGAGTACCGACGAAGCCTGTCAACCTAATAGAGCACCTGCTACCACCATTTTGAACCAGTCACAAAACTTGGTGTTTCACTGGCTTCATATAGATAAAACTGAAGTAAACACCCAGAATAAGCTTTTAAAAAAATGAAAAAATAAAAATCAGATTTATCTCCTCTAATTAAAATACTTTACATTAAGTAAAATAAACTATATCTGACTTTTGGTCTAGAACATTGTGCACTATAAAAGAGATGGCTATTCCGTTTCACTTACCTATTTTATCACAAATGCTCATCACTTTCAGGAAAGGAGTAAGCTAGCTAAAGCTTTTTTGAGGATATTAAAATGCATCTCACAGGCTAAGTGAGTTACTAAAGGATTACAGCTAAAAAAGACACTCACTACAAACCCAGTTTTGACAGCTGAATTCTCAGGACATATATCGGGACTGGGAATTCTGGAAAGGCAGGATGCTCAGTGGTACTGGAGGACAGCAAGTGCCTTACGTTACTAAACAACTTCCTCCGCAGTCAGCATAGGAGCTGGTCTGATTTCATCTACCTTCACCTACCAAAAACGATATTAGCACATCATGTCGTTTTCAAACAGGTGAGATTATAGTGACAGGAGAACATGGATGTTCATTAATACTCTGACAAGATGTGTTTGATTTTCTCTTAAACATGGAGACATGCGTCACATCCCAAATGTGAGAAGAAACGTAAATTGGAACATCTTTTGAAGGAATGAGGAAGAGAAAACCAATCTGAGTATTACTTGCATTCCACAAATGTTTTGGAAAGTGCATTCCCATATGTTAAAAATGGACAGAAAACCTGAACAACTTTTCTTTCCTATGTGACCTATTACTAGGTTGTGATGGGAATATACTAACTTGATGTAGTCAACATTTCACATTTTGTCAAATCCTTCCAATATTGGACAGATGTAAAAAGGAATTCTTAATTCTGACAGGAAAGCTGAATGTTAGTATAGAACATTAAAAACACTTACCTGCTGACAAATGTTTTGCCCACTTAGCAGTGTATCAATACTTGGAAGGTAAATTATGTATTCCTCCTCACAACGAACATGCAAAGCATGCTGTTCTGATTGAGAGAGGAACCAGCTGTGCAACTTGTAAGGGTTCAAGTGCAGAAAAGATGATGAATTGCCACAGTTTATGACTGGTTCAGGCTATCAGAATGCATTATATGCAATTGCAATTATAGCCAAATACTTCAATATCAGTAATAAAGGAAACAAAACTCTACTGTTCATAAAAAATCAGGCATCACAGCATTTCATCTTTGAGAGCTATCAGTAAAACAAACAGCTATATCTCCTAAAACACATTACCATGCCAAGTTGTTCATCACTGCCTGTAGTGAGTGGGAAGGAAGCAACTGTGTTCTTGTACCTTACCCAGAACTGCCAGGTTAGTGTTTGAAGGTTCTGTCTCACTGGGAAATAGGGGCAGTTTAGTTGTCAGAATGACTGGTTAACTGTCTGCTTTCACCTCTAGTGTGTGGACGTCTGAACTATTTATCCACTAGATCGTGAATGTTAGAGCTTTTTAGCCAATCTAACAATTAAGATTGGCAACAATTTATCTTAAAACAGTGCACTGCAAACTATAGCAGTACAGGAGCTGATTAAGAAGTAGTTTAAGCATTCAGGCAGCAGAAAGAAGACAGACCACTCAGGCCACCATCAGCAGTCCTGGCTGTCAACTCATGTTCTCTGCATAACACCACTGCTAACTTAGATTAAAATGAAAGGCCGTAAACTGGGGTAGTAGAGATATCATGGATACAGGCTTGACTGCTGCCCTGTTACACAGGCAACAGCCTCCTGCAGTGGGGCAAGATAGACAGCTAGGGGAAAAAGATGCCTCATGGATCAGAACCCAGACTTACCTAGACTTAAAGTGGGATTTGGATCACTGTTTCTAAGGCTAAGGAAACATTTTACTTTACTGTCTTATTTTCAAGGGGCAAAAATAACAAAACCACAGGATTTCTGTACAAAAAACCTGAGCAGCAGTCCTTTAATCCAAACACAAGTAACTGGGGGACTGCTCCACCAGTGGACTTCTTGCAGCACAAGAATCATGATCAGCACTAAATTTTCTTAATGCCCTACTGATGGCAGTCCTATTATTTTAAACCTCATTTCAGAAAGATGCTAAAACTGCTTGGGAAACTGGACACATGTTGATGTTTCCTTCAGCTGAATAACACTTAAACCTTAATTTAAAATTAGTCTGCATTTACAGAGTAGGCAATCACGCTGACTGAAGTAACCCATTTTCTCCAAACACATCCTCATTCCTATTGGGGACTGTGGAGCCACAGAAGCATGTGTGGCTGTACCATGAGCCAGACCCAGGTATGCTCCAACCAAAACACTGCTTTTTTTTCTGAGTTCCTTTTCAGGACCAGTTCCCTGACCCACTTGGCTGTGTGCTGGCATAACAGAGGAGGCAGCAACTGATTTTAAAACTGCCCTGTTGCCCAATGGAATATACACCAAGACTTTCATGACTACAGGCAATTTCTGAATTGAGGTCTCAAATTTCCTTAGATCTGTTGAACTGTTTAATTTCCTCCCAGCATCTAAGTGTTTGATCAAATGGCAAAAGATGCTGAGCAACTTTCTATGTACTTTAATAAACCAAATATTGACCAAAGAAACACAAGGTTCACTTAAGGGATTTAGCCACTGAAGATACCATTCTACTCTGCTGTCCTTTGGGAACATGCTGTAATAAAAATTCACAATATCCTGAAAAAACAATTGTTATTTAAGAAGGGTCTCTTAAAAATTTTTCAAATTTGTGTCATAAATCAACAGGATTCTGACTATTTTTCAAGCTGGTGTGTACCTCTAGAGAGGATTCATTTGGGGGTGAAATAAAAATCTAAGATTGAAATGTTCAAAGGGTGATAACAGGAGTCACATGACTAAATCAGCATCTAATGATACTCAAATAGCTAAGTCCTCAGGCACTGCTTTGAAAATGTATTCTTATCTTTATGCTCTGAAATTAATACTTCAGCAGAATTCCAAGGTGTGAAGGAAAAACAAAAAGGCTTATAATATAGAATATACAAGGCTGAAAAATATGCATATAGATCACCAGCTCCACTGAATTAACAGAGTTCCTAAATGCCCTTTCAGTCTCATCATGTAATGGTACTAGGGAAATGGTTCTCATAATGGTATCATATTGTTTGAAACCAATTTTGTTTGTGCAAGGTACACATGCACTAACATTCCAAGGAAATACCAGTAGCCATAAGTCTTTCAGGTGTTCTTAGATGCAAATCTGCAAATCCTACTAACAGCTTTCTGCTAACATTAATGAAACACAGACATTTAGTTTTGTCATTCATGACAGAAACACTTTATACACTCAGTTTTACTGAGTGGTAGTAATGTCATTGATTTCACTGGGAGAAACAGCTAAGATGTATCTGTTTTGTGTGAGCCAGTAGGTAAGCCCATTCAGAAAAAGGCTAAGTCACTCAACAGGTTCTCATATTTTGTTAATTTCTCTCCATCTCTCAGATTTTTTTATCTAATGCACAGCCTTTATTTAGGACCAAAACAAGCAAAAGGAAAAACTTCTTCTCAGAACGTGCATTTACCAGCCACTCACATAAACAGGATACTTAGTACACAGTGGTTAAAAATACATACACTAAACAGTATATTTAGTTACCTTTATTCTGTCAATGAACTGGTATTTTGTAATCATTGTTTCTTGCAACTGGCAAAAGTCTGCATTCATTTCTACTCCACACAGTTGGGCTGCTGAGCTATAAAGATAACCCTATGTTAGGAAAAGGAAATTTAGTAACTGTGATGCCTTTAAAACGAGTTCAGAAATTTCAATTAAAATGGAAAAAGTAGAATACAGGTTAAGATTAAGAAAGCATTTTTAAACAGCAAGTTGAGAAATGTCTTTTAGTGGATGTAACATGTTTTTCAGAGCTAAGTCCCTGATTTGGCAATTCCCACTTACGTCTCACGAGTTTTATTAAGAGATCCAAAATGACACGTCAAAATAAAAAGGAAAGCTCCAACTTCACTTCAATTGCAAAACAGATGGGAAATGGTCTAAGAAGGAAAGAAGCAGTACAAACCAAGTTACAAAAATAGTGTGAAAGGAAAAGACTCTGCACATTTTTGTTTCTTGGGAGAATGGAAGAAGAAAATAGCAAGTGAAATAACAAAAACCCACAACATACACATAGGCAAAGTGAGTGAAAATGGACAGCAATGTATCAATGGGATATTTTGGTACAGAGTCTTTGTCAGCACCTTTAAGTGTTGTATTACTGCTATTTTCAGGTGCTTCATAGAGGTACATATGAGAAAAGATAAATTATCCCTCAATAATAAGCCTAAAATAATGGTTCAGTTTGGACTGAGATTTTGGAAAGTTGTTGGAGATGTCAGGAAAAAAAAAAACCAACACAACACCAAAAAACAGAGTCTACAGGGCCCTAATGAAGATACTGCATTGTGCCATTGTCTCCACTAAACACCATAATTACACTTTGCCAACAATGGCAAACAAAAAATGCTAAAGTTACAGAATATTTGAGATAACTATGTACTACAATCTATTAATGTTTTCTGAAACCGTTCAGTCAGAGAGCAGAAAAGCAACCTGTGAAGGTAAAGTCACTCCTCCTCCAATACAAGCCAAGAATGTGATTAAAAAGGAGAACGCTTTTTTTAAAAATGTTTCCCTTGCTTTAGTGGAGATCATCTTCCCACTATAACAATACAAGCATTTAAGTACTTCAAAACAAATTCAGGCTAGCAAAAGTGTTACCATTTAAGGACCCAATGCTGCAAATAGTTACAAAGGGGAGTAACTTTCCTCATTTGAGTAGTCCCAAAATTAGATTATTCAGATGAGTAAAATTACACGCTCAAGTGTTTCCAAGATTGAGCCCTAAACAGCCATTGACTTTTTGTAAGAAAGTCGTAATGTGTGTTTTGCATTGCTGTTGGCCATATGTTGCACCAGTCATGCCAAAAGCAATCAAAATTGCACTCAAGTTTCTCGATGAAGGATTTTATGTGCATTTAAAAACGCAGAGCAGGACAATATGTTTTTGGAGACAAATTCATATCAAAGTCTTCCTTTGTATAATTTAACAGTTTGTCAGCTTCATAAAAAAATTTAACATAACTAATCTATATATAGACATGGTCAAGACATAGAGGACAAACTTACGAAGGAGACAGAGCAGGAACTAGGAAAAGAGCAGCATGTGTGACAGCAATATGCTACTCTGTTGGACAACAGACTTCTCCTCTCCATAAGCAAGATCATTTGAATTCCCTCTTGTGAGGAACAGAACAAGAACTGAAATTTCTAGTAAACAGCACCTTATACTGTTCAGAGAGTCAGATCAGAGGTGCCTCTCAGAATGACCCGTCCAAGATGGAGTAACGAGAGTAGGCAGTCAGGAAAAAGGGAAAATGTTTGTCACAGTAATAAAATATGAATTCCTGTGCTGGAAGTTACCGCAAATAGCACTGCACCAAGCCTGGAGCCAACGTCAACCACTACCTTTCCTGTCAGGTCAGGCAGTACATGTTGATAAAGAAACTTCAGTTCCATGAGGGAAAAGGAATGCGAAATAAACTCTGGGAAATAAGAACAAAACAAAGGTGTTGGGTGGGCAGTACTAACTACTGTGTTATTAATCAATGAAATATTAACCTGAAGAGTTATCATCACTGAAAACCTATATGGCTTCCTGCCTGAACTAGTGTTGGGGACCCCGGAAAACCAGGATTTGCAGACTGAAGGTAGCCTACCAAGCATTCTGTCCCGAGTCTGGGGATTCCTTCCCTTACATTGAGAATTTTGAAATCCTTCATGAAACTGAATAACGTTTTTCTGACATATATTATACAAAACAAAGTAATTTGGAATTGTTTAAGTGAAAAAGGAAACATGGTACCTAAGGCTTAATACAATTCATGCAAATCTTTTAATGGGGAGACATATTAATAACTGGAGTTTCAACTCCAAGGTTTTAAGGCAGAAAATGTTCTCCATATAAACCATTTCTCTTTCAATGCCTGCGCTATACTGGCAACAGCCATTATACAACTGATCTGTACCACACTACAAATAAGCTTTAAGATAGATGGTGCTTTCTACTGCTTTTCAGCAAGCAAGAGGAGACTGAGGATACTGCATGGACTCCTACAGTATTGTCTTCCTCTTGCATCTTCCTTTTCAGTGGTACAGTGGCCTCTTCTGTGCCCAGTATCTGTGGGCAATTAGTGTCATACACTGCAAATTAATTCAACTTACGTGTGTAGGAGTCTCCTTCCAGTGGCTATGGGAAATAATTCTGGCCTGTGTATTGCACCAGTCTGGACTAAGTCCTCCATCAGCTGGATGTTGTGTTGTCCAGCTGAGTCACTGCACGAACCAGTTTAGTTAAACTGAATGTTTCTCATGTTCCCAAAAGAGCACTTACCTAAAGATGCAGTCTTGTATGAGCCACACTCTGTGCAGTAGCTCCTACTCATTTTCCCCTCCTCACACAATGAATCAACAAAATCATCATCATAAAGGAATGCATCAACATGAATCATGGGCAGTGGATGCTGGTGTATCTGAGAAGAGGAACAAAACCTAAGAAAGGCATAATCACATCTCCTCATTTCACTTACACTTTTACATAGTTAATTGTCCCACCATCCTACCTTTCCCAAAATCCCTGAGATCCAAGTTTTTTCCTATTCAAAAGTTATAAATCAAAAGTAAACTACAGAAATCCTGCATGTAATCTGCATCATCAAATTCCACTGAAATAACCAGTAAGTGGAAGTTGACAAAGGAAAGCAAGCTGGTTTTGACTGCTGAGTAGGAGACCTGCTGCAAATTTTGTCTCCTTAGTGCTTGCTTGGCTACAGAAGAGGTACAAGGTAAAGGAAGCTTTTTCTCTTCCACTTTAATGAGGAGAATGTAACTTAAATTTAGGAAAAAGGGCAGTTTTGCTTCTCAGCTTCAACTATCTGAATATCTTCATCTTCATGCCTTATGCCTCGATCTAGAAACAACCCTGATTATTAACATGGGTGTCATTTTCAATCAAACACATACCAGTTGGGATGCTTGCATTCTCATCATTTCAAGAGGAATAATCTTCATCCTCCTACTCCTCTTTCCTCCCTCTCCCAGGCTCACTGCATGTGGCCAATCCACTTTTCCCATTTAAGAGCCACAAACCACTCTTCTGGGAAATGCATTAACTTTCCACCTATACTGACAGCCCAAGTAGAAAAGGTGCTCTCCCCTCACACAGGACTCACAACCCACCTCTTTCCAAACCATCAGAATCTGAAAAGAGCTGGAAATAATTTCTGGGCTGCCCACATTATGGCAACAGTGAAACACTGGCCCTGTATTTCTGTTTTCTTTAAGGGGGCTGTTAGAGTCTATTATGGAGCTAGCACTAAAGAATCACTGTGACAGGTGCCATACCACACAGAATGAAAGCTATGCCAAGTAACTTACGATGAAAGTATTAAGAACTATGAAGCAACTTTCCTGGAGTCACACAATCATGCAGCAACACACCTAGGAACCAAACTGAGACTTCCTATACCTCGATCCAGTGCTCATCCTCTATTATGAACTACTGCTAAACCTGAGATGACCACAGTCCCCAAATAAATTATGTGGTTCAGCAAAAGACCATAAGAAGTAGCTTACTTTCTGAACAGCTTGATGTTCTGAATTAAACATTGCCTCGATGGGTAAACGATTCCGCAAATCTTCAGCGATATTTTTGAGCACAACATCATTGTTACTCACCACAAGCTCATCAAAGTCATCTATAAATCAAGACAAACAAAAACCCCTCAACAATCATATGTAGATCATGTGGACTAAGTGATGACCAGTACAATACAGTTGCAAGACATAAACAATACCAGATGGATAAGGCTTTTATTTGAAAAGCATTTTCAGCCTTTGTTAGCTTTTCCAGCCAATGACAGATTTGGATTGTAACAACTTTGCCACTTAAAATAAACATAGTGCTTTTTTGAAATCTCAAATTATTTTCATATTTATAAACTTATAACTCACATATGATAGTCTGGGCTGCCACCAAAGCGATATTGTTTCAGCTTAAGATATAAAAACATCAAAGATGTTTTTGAACTATTGGAGAAATTACAAAACTCATACTTGCCTGAATGCAGGCTGCTTTTTTTTTTTTTAATACAAGTTTCTTTTTATACATACCATCTTTCTAATAAAGTGGTTACAAAAAAATCAGGGATAATGCACAGTTCAACAGTTCAACTTACAATACATTTTACATTACTTAAACTACCAAAATAATTCAAATGTGAAAGAAAATAGGAATAGATGTGAAACAGTACGTTTTTGCAAAGCCATCCTGTAAATTCTTGCTATTTTCCCAGGATATCCCTGCATTACTTTAATCTTTAATGCCTTTTTTTATTTTTTTAAGACACCTAGAAAAAAGATCAAGAGGGAACCTTGGGAAGTCACCAGTACTTTCTTCTTCCAATGCTGAATCAGTAAGTGTCAATACTTCTCCAAAGTATTCAAGAAAGATTGTTAATGCTGGAGACTCTACAACCTCCCTTAGCACTCTATTCCAGTGCTTGCCTACATTTACTATTAGAAAGGAGTATTTCTCTTAACCAAACTGCCACAATTTAAACTCAGTACCCTCTGTCCCTCTCACAATGGAAATAGAAAAGTTTGTTCCTCTCCTGTATATAGCAACTTTTTACTTCTTTGAAGACTTATCATGTGTCCCATCAGTCATCTTTTCTAGAAGAAACCAGATCCACTTATCCAGCCCTTTCCTACATTTTTTCTAGGAATCTGATCATTCTCATTGCTCCCCTTTGGTTCTTATGGACTCTCTCATCCTCTATGACTTGCAGTATTGAGAACTACACGCATCACTCCAGCTAAAGGTTTATTTGTACTAACCAGACTTTTCACATCTGACAGCCAATAACCTGCTTACACAACCTAGTTTTATGTTAGAGTATGATGTTCTTAACTGATGTTCAGCATGGGACCTGCTGTATGCCTGTACTCTGGTTCCTCTTCTGTTACGTTTTTCTCAAAATAAGGACTAGATGAAACTCCTTTTTGTCTGGACATCTCACTGCTCTGAGGACACTGAACTGGTTCTAAACAAAGGCACATCTCGGGTCAAAACTACATACCCATAAAAGAAACAAAACACACACCAAAAAGCAACCACCAACTCAATCCTGAAAAATATACCCAGCACATATACTGATTCTTGTCTAAAAATACATGTTTGTCCTCTCTTTCCAACCATTTCTGGTTTGTTTCTTGTTCCATTTAGACTGCCACCATGTTGGTCAGGGAGCATGGTTTTTACAGACTGTGTATCATTCACCAAAAGAAGATCTGACAGCTTTTAGAAGTGTTTAAAAAACGTTAATATGTTAGCACTGCTGTCCCAGGTGGGAACATAAGTATAGACAAGTTTGATGGCAAGCAGGTTCAAAATAAACCTATAAAACATGCTGTAAGTTTCTCCATGCTAATATACTTAATCTTTCCTGTGGAACACAGGCAATGCTAGAAACAGTGGGAAAATTTAAGGCTAGTATAAGAAACAGAGATGAGCTACTTTTAACGATGAAATGCTTCTGAAATCTTTTTGCTTAAGCACTGTAGTGAGAACCGTATGATCAAAGAAACCCCCATTCACTAGTGCAAGACACTCTCAGAATGTAAACGTAAATGGTTCTTTCAACACATCCCAAAACTGACTCCAACAGATAATCCTGAATCCCCCATAGTAAGCAGCAGAAACTTTAAATCATCTGGATTCCCTTAACGTGTATTTGGTTTATTATTTATTAAATGTATAGTGGTAATGCTCCAAGGCCTGATAGGCACAATACCGTTGGTAGTTGTTATACAACAGGAAGACAATTTGCTGTTCCAAAGAGCTCATAGTCAAGTTCTCCAGAATCTCAGCTCCTAATAAGATGCAGACTTTGCACTGAGGAGCACAGGATGGACAGACCAGCAGCTGCAACAGCAGCAGCATGAACAACACAACAGGTGCAATGCAGCAGCTCCAGCTTGTCAGCATTTTAATTTGAAACCTCTAATGAGCACCCATTTCCTGTTAACCTCACTTCCATCCAACAACTTGCAGATTTGTTATGAACATCCCAGAAGCAGTGACTGATTTTTCTGATCAGCTCAGGGAAGGTTTCTATGGATGTGACACAGCACAGAAGAGATTATAGGAAGGGAAGGTGGAGAGATTTAACTGTTGCTTAACTGGGACCATCAGCACCACAACAGGCCCTCAGAGTGCAAAGGAGCCAGTTTGCTGAGGTGGATAACATCTCAGAAAGCAAGACGGAGAGAAATCATGCTACAGACAGAATGATAGAGAGTAGAAAGCTGATATTACCAGCTGTACAGACCAGCGCCTGTGGGCAATAAGCCCCTACATCTGGCACATGCCTTAAAACAATACTATTACTATGCAAGAGAGCTCATCCAGCTGTTATACTGCCTGTTAAGAGTATCAAATTCATATATAGCGTTTAATGAAACGCAGGAAGTGTTCGTAGACCACCAAGCCAGCCCCATCACACTGCAAATGCAGAACTTCAGCTCCTTTTCTCCCAGAGCTGGTGCATCAATACGATCTGCTCCCTCATGGCCTGGGTGACCTTTTCTGGCCAACATTAGTGGTGGACAGCTCTCTAGGCTATTCACTGTCCCAGCTCTGCAGTAGAGAAAGAGATATTTCCAGTGGGAGACAGGTAGCACACCCATCTTCCTCAAATACAGAATACTCCTTCCCTGCCTTCAGTTCCATTTGAACAATGCTGTCACAACACCGACCACCTTTACTTGGTGCCCTCTTACATAGGAAACAAAGTATGACACACAAGAGTTCTTGTGAATGCTCTGTATGAAACAGGTCCTAAAGGAAAATCTTACAACACATGCAGCTCACACAAAAAACTGCTGAAAAGCTAATACTGAATAATAAATGATGAATGGAAATGCTCCTTCCCAACTATCAGTTAGTACTGTAAAGCATAAGCACGAAGGAACAAAAACCAGAGAAGGTTTGAAGATACTCCTTCCGAGATGACAAAATGGCAGCTTCGGGAGAAGCTGCACATGCAATGGTCTGCGCTTGCGTGTATAGTCTGTGACTGAACTCAGAGGCGGAGAGTTGTCTCATTCCTGTCAAAGCAAGAAACAGCAACAGCTACCACAATAACTCATTTACTTTTGCAGTATGTAAATATTTATAGATTGCCATCAAGTACAGAACACAGGTGCCAAATATGAAAATATGCATTTCTGCCTCTGCCAGTACAGTTTTATCAGCTCCACCCTTGTGTTTTAACAAATTGTTCGCTCTTGAGAATCTCAGTATCACCTTACAAGGGATCTTCAAAGAAGAAACAGAAATAGAAAACTATTTTTGGTATCATTTTAGTGCCTGTTATATATATATATATATATATATATATATATATATATATATATATATGAAATGAAGAGTGCGCAAGCCAACCCCTGTGTTCCTTGAACAGACAACTAACCAGGAAAGAACTGTACAGTTCATGAAATACTGTAAGATGAATCACAGTAATTTGTTTATGGAGGAAGTCTGAGTGCACAGTGTTTGTATTTTACTTCAAAAACCGGTTCCACTGGATTTACTCAACAGGCATTTATAAAATTTAACTAACACATTGCAAAAAGCCTAATTAACACCTTGGTGCTGCTCAGCCTTTCTATGGCAAATATAACACAAGCTAAGAAAACATCACAAAGCCTCACACCAGAGAGAGAGCACCGCTATACCATCATCTAAACATCCTGGCACTGTGAAATACATGACTGAAGACAAGCAATGTATGATTTCCAAATTACAACAGAAGATTACATGTCACATGGAAAGAAAAGGATTTAGCAAAGGCAACCATAAGAGCAAGCACCTTATGGTGTTCTAGATACATATTCAGGCTCACAGAAGTAAAAAGCAAGTATTAACATCCATGGTACTTAATACAAGTTTAATTTTATTATTCACTGTGTTTCAATGATACTGAACAGCTCAAGGAGGATGTCTCACATCTCTAAAACCTCACCATCTCCTTTTCTGGCTAAATGATTTGAGATCTCTGACTTCAGTATATCAACTTTTTCAGGAACTCTAAATACTATTTCTATCCCAAAGCATACTTAGCTATTGGTAGAAAGTAATCAGCTTTTTCCAAAAGGAATATAACCAGAGCTTATTTTATTAGGTTTTTAAGTCTTTTACATTCATAGATTGAAAGAAGATTCAAAGTTAAATTTTAAACGAGGTAAGTCACAAACCTATTTTACAGTCACTAGTTTTCCACACCATTATTAAGTTTCAGTGACTAACAACTTAGAAGTACTTAGTATTCTGGAGACCTCTCTCGCAGAAGTGCCATTTGTCACAACAAAGGAAATTTATGTCAATTCCCAAAGTTGGCAGTTCATCAAATTACAGGTAACATCCCTGCTTAGTTTAACAAACAACAGAGTAATAGAAAAGATTTTTGGTATGGCATAATTTTAATAAAGAAATACATTCCAGTTAATGTGGCTCTGCAACACGACTTTGATCTTTCTGACAGGATATTTTACTTGGATAAATCACTCCTACCAATTTGGGTATGAAGACTTGCAGCAAATGGCTTTTTCACACACACAAAAAAATTACATGCTATACTTGTTACATTGCAGAAACCCATGCTTTCATTATTTTAAACAGACTCCTTACACTTTG